AACAAGAATATAACAATGTTGGAAGATGTACCAATTATTTTTGAAGAAGAAAATAAAATTAGTAAAGTTTGGCTTAGGAAAGTTTAACTAAATACTAAGACAGTAGAAAAACTGAAAGGAGGATATGTATGAGGAGAGGAATTCCTAGGCTACATTAATGCAAAAGTATCTTAATAAGATCCTGTAAAAGGGAAGTGACCACAAGAATGAGTTGATATCAGAAAGCAAGAAATTTAGCAGCTTCTGGTGAATGAGCCCAGGGAACTGTTGAAGATAGGCTTAAATAAGAGATAGTAGGGTAAAAAGCTGTCATCATTACAGTAGCTGACACTCCTCACAAGTACTTGGAGAGACAAACATGTGGAGAGTTAATTGAAGAGAAATCATTATGATGCACAATTTAATATGAAGTTAAGAGGTTTTGCTATTTGCACAGATTATATATATTTTACATATATACACACACACACAAAGACACATAATTTTACAACTTAAATTTAAAATCACTATATATTTATAAGTGCTCTTATGTCATTCTCATTAGAATGTAAGCTACATGAAGGCAGCAACTATCAGTCTTGCTGACAGCTGTAAGCCCACTGTCCTGATTATTACTACATAAAATAAGCAAATAATATATATAAAATTTTATATATAAAAATATATATAAAACGGATGCTTAAAGTTTCTGTAAATAGTATGTTATTGTACATAGCCTACGCAAAGAGTCTGAAGGACTGAAAGAACATACAGTAAAGTAGTAATATATGTAGATTCTACAAAACACATACCTGAGAGACTATTAATTTAAATAGCATGGAAAATTCTACCTGCTTTTTCGGTGACTAGTCTCTTCATTACATATTCCATACACCTGTGCCCATTATACATTTATGCATACATACAACAAAGTTAGAGACACTACTACATATATTTTACAAGCATTTTTAAGATCCTGTCAAGAATTCAACTCTACTCCATCCAAGATGCACATCTATCTACTCTAGTTAGAATGCTGAAATTAGACAGACCAGGAAGATCCCAGTAGCTAGGAAGGAAGAGAAGATTTTAGTGTCTCTATAGGCAAAAAATGAGAAGGGCCCACAGGACTTGTGTTGCATGAAGTTTATCAAGACGGAGAATTTGAAAGAATTTGGCGTGCACAGGACATTTAAGATAGTCTAGATTCTTGAGACTAGAAATTGAATGGCCTACTAGGACATAATAAAAGCTTCATGCAAAGTTCTATGAGGTTAACAAGGCACAGAGCCAAGTTAGGAACTAAAGAACAGTCCATACCACTGGGATAGGACAAGGAGAATTTCTAAAATTACTGGGAAACAGCACTAGCAATGATAAAGATGGGACTGCATTTAATATTTTCCAGGGGTCTCGTATCAAACACATATGCTAAGATGTTACCTAAGATGAAGTTTTTCTAGTCCAGCATCTGCAAGATCATCATTGGCCCTTTGATGAATGTCCCTCTGTGTTTCTATTTTGTGATCATCAGAAAGACCATCAACTTTGTGAATAAAAACCTCAAAATTCATGTCTGGGTTCACTTTGTAGGCTTTAGAAACGGTAATGTGAAGTCTTGTTAAAGCTTCCATGTAGTCATCCTGCAAGTCAGACAAAACAGTTTGTAAAAGCAAAGCTTACTAAAGTACTCAGTCAAATAAGCTTCAAATCATCTTTTTTGCCAATCATAGAAAACATTTTAACCTAATTATACGCATTATTCAAACATTCTGATATATTTATATATCTTACCTAATAGCTCTTTGATTTCTTTTTAAAAATGCCCAACAAATTACTTACCAAGGTTCTTCTTGCAATTTTTAATGCAGATAATATAAAAGGGAAATTATTATTTCGTCACAACAGAATTTGAAACCCTAGCTATGCCATTTATTAGGTATGTTACTTTGACCAAGTTGCTATAATCTCTGTTTAACTCATCTGTAAAACTGGAATTATAAAACTCACAGTATTTTCAAGACTATCTTCAATTAGACCAGGCAAGTGAAAGGATCCATTATAAGAGTCTGTCACTCAGAAAGTATTCCTAATGCTTACGTTTATAAAAAGTAAGCATCTTAAAGACGGACCATGTCCCATTCATCCAGGTGCCTTCCACAGTAGGCCCTACAGATATCTTTTTGGGTTAAATGCATTTTTGACAATTAACTAAACTACTCAATATTTACTAACTCGGTCCTCATATTCATCCTTATATCAAGAGCAATGTCAATATTATACCAATTAGTAATGTTTAGCAACATTCCTATAAAGTAAAAATACAAAATCAATGTTATTTATTCATTAAGATCTTAGGCTATAAACCATCTCTCTCCTAATCATCTGATATTTTGTACTTGTACAATGGAATGCGTACTCTAAAGCACCTCTGCAACTGCATCTATCATACTGTTAGAGATGTTACTGACAAAAAAATAAGCTTCAAGAAGTATATGATGAAGATTAACAGTCTCTTCTGTTCCTTCATCTTTTGCCACAGAGAAGTAAGAATCATTTGTTCCTAAATACCTGTGCATCAATGACATATATCAACGCTCCTGTTCCCCTGAAGATCATCTCATAATCAAATGTTGGGTCAAAAAAGTCCATTTGTCCAGGAAAATCCCATATCTGGAAATTCACAAAGGAGCTATTGGAGATGTCATCTTTATAAATCTTGTTGGTACTTTCCAAAAAGAGGGTCTCATTGGGTGACATTTTATGAAATACCACCTGTTCAAAAACAAAAGGAGAAATAACTTTAATGTTGGTATCCTTGATTAAATAGCTAAATAATTTTATCTTATAGAAAAATGCTAAAGTCAATAAAAACAATATATCCACTGGTACTGTCTTGCATAGTTTTAACAGGAAAGAATATGCAATATGCTAAATTGAATCCATTTGGAACTGAAACTTACAAGCACTTTTCTCTGCACCATATCCAATATCTCTCACTCCCACTGTATCTTTGTTTTTCCATTACTATCATATTAATCTCATAAAAATCTACTTTATGACTAGATGTTTTATCATCCAAAAGATACCCAGAATAAAACTAACCTGGAATCTACCCTCACTGAATTAATAGCCTGGTGGAAGAAATAAAACAAGGACAGTAACTATAATACCAGAGAGAATATGATAAATGTTCTGGACAGGGAAGAGGAAGGGCACTATTTAGAACTGAAGAGAGAAGACAGCACCCATATGCAGGTAAACAGTAAAAGCCATTGTTAAGAATCAAAATGATCATAAACCATACAATCCTAATATAAGACTAATTTCCTCTTGTTGACTGTTTACTTTCTGTAAAGGGGGGAAAAATGGAATATTATCCTCAAGGTTTAGTCAGTGAGTGAAAATTAAATTTCGTTTTCTAAAAACCTGCCATGAATATACCAACATTTTACTGTACACATTAAAATAAAGACAAAGTAAATAAAATCACAAATCATCCAATAAATAAAGTGGGCAATTGGTGGCCCAATAGTAAGGAGCTGATTGTCAATATAAAGGCATATGGTTCAAATCCATCAGATGCTTAGTGGGACAAAGATAGGCACTGACCTTCCTTCCAATTTATAGCCTCTAAAATATGCTGGAGGGTCAGCTAAGTGTCAGTTCCAGCTTAAAGGAACTTAACAATACAATATTTTTAATGAAAAAAGAACTTCAGCTACAAAATGTCCCAGAGAGATTTGATTACCTTTGCAACTGAAGAGAAAGCAAAAGACACTTAACAGTATTAGTTTTTACTATCAGGTAACTCCAGTGTGTTACAGAAGTGGCTGATGGATATCAAACTTGCCTCTATTTCTCTTTACTAAAAAGCATATAGCTTTCCCCATTTCTTGATAGACTCAAGTCAAACCAAACTATCTGCAAAACATTCTCAAAGTCTCAAGAGATTTTTGTGGGGTTTTGGTTTTTGTTTGTTCTGTTGTGGGGTTTTTGTTGTTTTTTGTTTTGGGTTTTGTTTTGTTTGTTTGTTTGGTTTTTTGCATACAACCGGAATCACCAGTTGGTAATTTCACCAGACCCCAAGTACTAGGATAACTATTCTGTTCCCAATAAAGTCACAGTAAATTCTTTATACTAGTAGCAAACCAAGCAATAACATGGCCCGTAATTTAATCACAACTTTTCTTGACTCTGCTCCATGAGGTTCAGCTGGGAATTCTTGCAAACCCTGGACACCTGAAGTGAGAGGAATAAATAAAAACTGGGCAGAGGTGGGAGCCCAGAGGGATTCTCCAAGTTAAAACGGGAGAGTACACCTTAGTTCCGTGGGTGACACAGGGACTAGTGTCCCAGGGGCCAAGGTCTCGTGTGGAGCTGCCGGGCACCTGCCTCCCCCTGGCCAGTTTCGCCTTCAGGGACTCCCTTGGCCTCCGCTGACTTGGGCGTGTGCCTCGCTCTGAGGTCGGGCTGGGCGATCCGGGCCGTGCCGAGGGAAGAGAAAGTGCGGTGGGACAGACCTCCAGGCCACCCCCCGGCTGCCGTCCTCCTGCAGGGCCTCCCCCGCCAGGCGGCCACCTGCGCCTCGGGGAGGGGGAGGGGCAGAGGGACGCAGCGCGGACCCACTCACCTTCTGGATGGAAGACTTGCCACTGCGCCGGAGCCCCATGAGTAGGATCCTTGGCTTGGAGCTGTCAGCGCCCCCCGGGCCACAGCCTCCGCCGGCCCCGGCCCCAACTCCGCCGCCCGCGGCTGCCGCCTCCTCTTCCTCCTCCTCCACACCGTAGCCGAAGTCCTTTGGAAAAGAATCCGCCGCGCCGTAACTCCCGGCGAGGGGTGCATCCTCCGTCCCGTACGGCAGGGACATGGTGCTGGACCGCCACCGCCCGCGCCCTGACAGGCCAGGCCAGGCCGCCGCCTCCCCCGGCAGCCGCCACCACCATCCGACCCTCCTCCTAGAGCCCCCTCTCATAGGCTACGAGGCGAGGCCCAGCCCCTGATTGGCCGTCTGACCTGCCACTCGGGAGCAGCAGGGTAGGTGATGCCTCATCACGTGCTCGGAATCACCTGACTGGGAGCCCTGGAGGGGGGGGAGGAGGAGTCACGCGGAGGGTGGCCCGGCCCGGCCGCGCCTCTCGGCCAGGATTCCCGGCCCTCTGCCCCAGTGCGCACCTCTGTCCAGCCCATCCCCTCTCCAGGCTTCTCGCAGCTTTCCTGCCCTCTGCCAGGACCCGAGATCGTTCCAATAGGGGCTGCTTTCTGGACCGTGTGAGGAAGACTTGTTTGTACTTGGGCGAACGTACTCGCCTAGCCATGATGATGCCTACGATGTCCTGGGTACCAAGGAGCACAATACTGAAAGCAACTCGGATTCTGTCGACCCTCAACTTGCTTGCTGGTTAATAGACTGGACTTCTGAGTAAGTAGCCTGGGCCCGAGATATAAAGTGGGAAGGTCAAAGAAACAGATAAAAATGGCAGTGAGTTAGCAATCTTTAAGAGGCTAGTGCCATAGCAGATGGATAGAAATGGTTGGAATATGCAAAGATGTGGACTGGGGGTGAGGCGTTCAACAAAGGCAGGCTGAGTATGATGCATGCAGTTCTCGTACTGTATCGACCCGCTTAGAAAAGCAAATGTAACCAAACTATACCATCTCTAACAAAAACAAAACAAAACAAAAAAAATCACTGACTGTAGGTAATGCTAACACTTCAATTTTAATAGGATTCAAATCCTCTGCCTACCCACCAGGAGTCCTGGTGGCGTGGAACCCCAGCCATTGTGCTGAAGATGAGGTATTCCGTTTCAGTCAAGATTTACTGCTTAGGAAACGCAGAGGCAGTTCTACACGGCCCTATAATGTTGTCATATATCCAGAACTCCATTAAACAGTGGCTTTGGCTCTTATTATCTCATCAGTCTGGAGGGAGGTCTGGGAGCCTAATGGTAAAGAGGTATGCTGCCAACCTGAAGGCAAGCAGTTGGAATCCACTAGATGCTCTGGGAGAAAGATCAGCAATCTCTGCCTCTGAAAACCTGCTGGAGGCTCGGCTGAGTCAGTTCCATAGAGCCCACTGTGACTAACAGCAACCCTATGTTCAACAGGCTCTAAAGCCTGCCCTGTCCTGAGCCAGTCTCACCTACTCCTACTCCTAACCCTAACCCTAACCGACACACCTACCACCATTACTCCAGTCACTGTGTCAATCTATCTCATCTGGGATCTTTCTCTCCTTGATATCCTTCCACCCTTCCAAGCATGACATCCTTCTCCAAGGACTGGTCCTTCCTGGCCACATGACCAAAGTATGTAAGACAGCTTCAAAATCCTAGCCTCCAAGGAGAAACCTAGTTTCACCCTCTCCAAGACAAACCTGTTTGTTCTCTTGGAGGCCCATGGTATGTTCAGGACTCTAATCCAAGATCACAACACAAAAGGCATCAATTCTTATTTTGTCATCCTTAGTTACTGTCCAGCTCTCTGAGGCATAGCAATTACAAAGATCATGGCCTGAATCAGGTGCACCCTTAGTCCCTAGTCTGACATTATTACTCTAACTTTTTGGAGAGGTTCCTGAAAGCAGACTTCCCCGGAGCAATTTGTCTTTTAAATTTCCTGAACGCTTGTGCCAAGAATATTCATTGTGAAGCCAAGCAAGCTGAAATTGTTAAGAACTTCTCAATCTCTTCTCCATCTATCATGTAGCTGCCAGCTGGCTCAGCGGTAAGAGACAGTCTTTGTCTTCTTGATGTTGAGCTTCAATCCATATTGAGACTTCAGTCCTTGACTTTCTGCAGCAAGTGCTGCAGAAACTGATGGTACATCACAACAATCAAAGTCTATTTCTCAAGTTTCTCCATCTTCTATCATCCCCCTTTGGATCAGAGACCAAAGGAATTAGTAAGCGTTAATCACAGCTTGTTACCTCCAGCTTGAGAAAGATCCAGCCTGCGAAAGCTAAAGAAATTTTCACTCTTGACAGGCTCTAAAATTAAAATTTGACAAAACTTAAAGTATGTCCCTATACACTGAAAGAGAGTAGGGGGAGAGGATCCTGTTCTTCCACCAACACTGACTTCTTCGCTATCAAGTAAAATTATGTTCATGCAGGTTTGGGACTGGTTAATGTCTGAAAATAAAAAATAAAGGTAAAACTGGGAAGAAGAAAAAAAAAAAAAAGAGCACCTAGTCCAACCTCTTTCTTAAGAATCCACTCTACAGTCGTGCCTCTGACTAATTAAGACAGGCGGGATACATTTAAATATAAGAAATCTTTTCATTTAAATTAGAAATCTTTTACGTTTCTTATTCAATTTAAAAAAAAATAAATCACTCCATGGAGTTTACAATGGAATAACTGAGGAGCAACCTTCATCTTTTACATGTCACCCCTCTAAGTATTAGATTGCAATCTTCATCATCCATTAAGTCTTCTCTGTACTGGGTTAAATGTCTTTAGTTGCTTCAATCCTTCTTCCTATTCAACTCTGTGATGAAATTGGCCATATGTCTCCACTGTGCAATATGGCAGCCACTAGCCAACTGAGACTGAGCACTTGAAATATTACATCACTTAAAAATTTTTTACTTAGCTACTAGTTTGCAGTGTTTCAGAGCCTCCCTCCCTACTAGCTAGTCTTTTACATTTAAACTTGTCAACATTCATCATGTCTGACACTTGCAGTACAGTACTGCCCTGTACAAGATGGCCATTTAGTGCCTAGACAGTATTGCTATTAATGCTTTCTAAAAAGGAATTAAAAAAAAATAGCCCTACATTGTTCACATTGATAATCACTGGAACTAGTACTTTCTCAGCCATTCTAGTGACTAAACTTGTAGTTTCCAAGACTGTAAATCTTCTTGGAAATAGATTGCTCTACAGTTATCCTCAAAGTGGCTTCAAACTGCATGCCTTCTAGTTTGAAGCCAAGTGTTTTAATAACTGGGCCACTTCCTTTGAGCAGGTTAGTTCAGAAAGATGGTAGAGTCACCTGATCTGATGTAATGCTAATCCCACAGAGAGGGAAAATCAAATGAGGGTTGCCTACAGAAGGAACTTCTACTTGTCTCTATCCACAAAGGGATTATCACGCAGTCTTTAAAAAAGCCAACGTTCCCTCTCTTTCAAAAATCCCATGGGGCCTTATTTTATTATTTTAACACTTCTTAGCACATCCTATCCCATACTGTAATCAGTTATACACATGCCTTATAACCCAAGTCATTCCTCTTTATAACAATCCAGAGCTTAATCTCATTGCTGTCAATGCAGAAGGCCATTTTGATCTATCTGCCCCCATTCAAAAATAAACTTGAGAAGAGACACAGATCATTGGCCACATTCCTGACAGCAAGACTGACTGAAAAATGCTCCTATAATTGGCTTGGTCCTTATTTCAAATAGATATTGAGGATTCTGCTTGTTAAGCTAGTTTTCATTGGGTTCATTTTGTTTTCTATAATGAAAAGTTTTTTAACAATATGGATAGAATACATATAATAGGCCAATGACTTAATAATGTCACTCATCAATGAAATAAATGATTAGTAAAACATCATCATCTGGCTTTAGGTCTTCCAAAAGAAAAGGAAAGAGGACTAACAAGTATATAATGCTTTAACATTTACACATCTTTCACATACATTCTCATTTGACCCTCACAACAACCCTGTGAGGTAGGCAGCATAGATCATTCAACAGATAAGGACCATGACTTTTAGATTAGTTAACTGACATACTCAAGCTTCTAGTCAGTAAATAATTTGTACTAACATCAGTCTTTGGCCTAAAATTTCAGCACCTCCTCACACTTGCCCTTCCTACTTCACAGGGATAGTGAGGAGAAAATTAATTCAAGGCTAGAAAAATATTTTGAGGAAAATGCACTATATAGTTATACCCACAAACTATGATTTCCCATGATATATAAATGGCTCGTTTTCATTCTGATTCCACTTAAGACATGAACCCAGAATTTTCTATTTGCCTCTGTTCTGTGCTCACTTACGTAATTTTCACATGGGTAAGGAACAGTGTGATCTTGTTTTAAATTATATAAATTACAATCAGGATGACTGCTGTCAATAGCAAATTAAAAAATAATTAATACAACAAGGCTAATGTGCAACTAGGACCCACTGAAACACATAGAGCAAGCAAGGCAACATTAGCAGATAGCATGATTGCATAGAAGGGAAAAGTGGTGTCAGAGTTCAGACTGGCACACACAGTTATCTAAGGCAAAGTGGTGTCAATGGCAAAGAAGTGATCCATTCTTCATTATATACACAAGAGCAGAGGATTTGTGGGAACCTGTGCAAGAGCTTCTATCACATAGCTCTCCCCAGCTG